GCTCCACGGTCTAAAGATACAACATCTCCACGGTCTAAAGGTACAACAGGTACCGCAGTGCCTCTGCTAGACCTATCACTGATCGGCATCTAGCGCGATCTATACCCTCTGACTCTGACATCTTTGAGCCACAGTCATTTGGCAGCTTTCCGGCCGCGACGTCTGCCAGCCCACACAATTTCACGCTCGTCGGAAGTAGAGGTGGCAAAATGTGGACCCGAGGACCCGGTCCAAAGAACCAGTCTGGACCCATATGGGTCCAGGCCGGTTCCTGGAAATTTTCTGACGGGTCCAACCGGGTCCTACCATAAACTATACATCTTGCACACTACACACTATTGCAAAATATGAAGTGAATGAAGTGAATGTTTCTTTGCACACAGTAGCTCATGAGTATTCCCGGTGGGAAATAGGCTGTTATACATGATGCAACTAATGATGTCTACAAGAAGTTTGTATTAATTGACTTTTGGGGACCGGGTCCAACTGGTTCCGATTCCAACTAAGACCGGGTCCGACTGGTTCCAGAAATGTCCAGCCGGGTCTGGTTCGAGTCTGGTTCCCAAAATTTTCATCTTTTGCCACCTCTAGTCGGAAGCACCATATATCAGGAGACAGAGAATGCGCGTAGGTGGGGAGTGTTCTCAGCAGGTCATTTTTGAAACGGACCCCAGCCGAATTGGTACGACGAATGATGGGACGGTAGTTCGCGCGAGATAAGCTTGAAGCTAATAACCGCTTTGGCTACCGGCATGTTATTAATTGGTATTTACAGCTAAAACATTAAAAGTTGGCGATCAGCAATTAAATGGTTTTTGATGGTTTGGGTGGTTTTATGGTGTGAACTATGGATTTTATTTCGTCGACTCTTTATGAAAAATGTTCGACTTCCTTGCAATAGAAAGCGACTTCCTTGTAATAGCCAATCGCATTATGAAAACGATTCTCATATTTACATTTGAATTTCGAACTCCAGTAGTGCAATACAGAGAACATATTTTACATCGTAAATCAATAGCATAGACAATGTCAAATCCTTTTTGTTGTTGTGATCCGTTATCTTTGCAAGTGGCAGCTCTACATTGGCGTTCGTTGAAACGTGCTGCGAAGCAGTGCACATTGCACATGCATGCTGCGCTAAACCTCCCATAACGCGAAACAGTAATGTGACAGCTAAGCCCTTGCCTTTCTACGAACAAACCCATTCATCGTCGAATAAATGTTCGTGTCACGGCACCAACCATGTCAAGTGTTTAGACTTGTTGACATGCCATAATCCTGCAAAGTATACCCAGTACAAACTACCGGGCAATAAAACACACTTTGTGGCGTTTCTTTTACCAATATACAGCTAATCGGCTCGAGTCTAAGTGATCACGTCAAACTAAAGACTGACCACAGCTGTCATACCATCTGGGCTGACGCTGAAAAAAAAATATGCACGGCTGTGCACGGCTAACTTTTAAGTTGTTTGATCAGTGCTGTCAGTTTGACCAATAAACAAAAGCGGCGATTGGACAGAGATGCAGCCTGCAACTCTGTTCGAGACAGCCGGATTGTTGTTGCTAACCAGCTTCCAGAATTCATAGAACTGCCAGTAAAAATTCGCTGAAGTTTTACAGTTGTGTTTCATTCGAATCGGATAGCAATAGCGAAATCGTTTAGTAGTGTTGTGTGTTGGCTCGGCCAATGATAGACTGAATCTTGTAAATGCTTACCGATGCGCAACCGTTCATTCCTGAAATTGTTCGCTAAAATAATGGTATTCAACATTCTAACTACTATTGTGGAAGGCAATATGCTATATAATGAAAGATAAATTAAACTGTGGGGACATTTCCACAGGGTTAAGAAGGTGATTGTTCAGTTACCAATGGTCCTTACATTCAAAACAACGAATGGTAAAGGTTTTCCAAACATCGAAACTAAAAAGTGATTTTAATGTTATGAAAAGGCCAAATGCCTTGGATTATATTAAAAAAAAAAAACACTTCGAAAAATAAACACGGTGCAGCATTTTGCATTTTTTCCCAGTTTAGTTCACCAACGCAAAATTCAGTACGTCTGCCACTGCTTTCGGCACAAACCGTTCTGTGCGCTTCAACGCAAGCGCGTGTACTGAACCACAAACACCCAAACACAAACAATTCGCCCACATTCGCGGCCCCTATTTCTATTTTCTGACAGCTACCACTCACAGCCAGCACGTGAGCAGTGTCCGACCCACACCACCGCCCGGGGGCTTTTAGCGGTTCCTTTTGGGTCACTGAGCTGTCACTCACACAACAATGCCGTGCCCAGCCCCAGAGGAAGAGGGGTGGACAAGGCCGCCGCCACCGCTGCTGCCAAAAAGTGGAGCTTTTTAGTGTTACAAGCAAAACGGAGTAAGAACGAGAAAAATATATTAGGTACTCGCTGGTGATGAATCCCCCGTTTATTAACTCTCATGAAGAAAATGTTAAACACAGCTGCACCGTGAGCAAAAATAATATTCTCCTTGTGAGATAGATCGGTGTGTACTCTGTCAAGGGCAGGGTATTTGCGGATGACGTGGCCAAGCTGCTAGTATTTTCAGAAATATATATGTACTGCCTGTAAAGAGTCCTGCTGACGCTGGTGCCTTCTTGGGGTACGTTTTGCCACTTGCGAGCTTTTAATGGCTAAGTTTTTTTTTAATAACATTATTTCGTAATTCTATTTTGATTTAAAAAATCATGAGAAGTTCTAAGATAATATATTTAATGAAAATGTTTACCAAAGCTTAGATAATTATTTCAGAACAGACACAAACTTCCCAAGACACCGAGATAAAAACCGTACCCTATAACCCCATCAAGTATAACAGTCTAAATCAATGTGTTATTCGCCAAGCCGTGTTGGAAGCCCATCTATTTTGTTATCATATTTATCATCTTTTGAATAATTAAATGATTTAGTTTATATGATGGTATATCTGGCTAGATTCTTGAGCAGGACCACCGTTCTTAATGCTCATACCTATTCAAAGCAAATGGCTAGCATCGCAGGCAAGTACTGCAAGCAGTACCACTTCGTAGAAAAAGTATCCGCTAGTCAATTAACGCTCGAGAAAACGCAAAGTACATGCTGCAAGCGCAATCTCGTGTGCATACCATGCATACCTTATTATCAATATGCGGAAATGGAGACTAATGAGCCCCCACGAACAGCTTATTTCCAATTAATTAATTAATTAATAATTAATCCAATAACGAATTAATAAGTCCAAGAACATCTTATTTCCTAGTACAGCAATCTCGCCAAAACTAACCGCACCATTCTCGAAGTGGCTGTAACTTACATGACTCCGTTCAGACGGCAATTCAATCACATCCCGACTACGAGTAGTGCCTCTACTCTCTATACCTACCGTTCTCTACAGCGGGTCACCGCCGTCTCCGCCGCGGCGGACCCATGTTCCAAGACGGCACGCCTCGCTCCCAAGGCTTCTAGTATCAGTTCCAGCACAGACCAGCGTAAACAGTCGACCGGTCACAAATCGATGGGTCACGTCTGACGTCCCCAGACAATCTGTGCCCGGTCACACATGGGTTTTGCCGCCACTATCGGTCGCGCCAGATGCCGGCTCCGGCGGTCGCCGTCGATGACGGTCGACGGTGTCGACGGCGGCGGTGTCGATGACGGTATTGGCGGTCGTCGCGGTGGCGGCGGCAAACGAACAGAGATGGACGTAGAAGGTCGACCCAAAATGTTAGCAACAAGTAACCTAGCCGACGCCGATTTCTGATTTCAGCAATAGTGATTCAATAGAAATGAATTTAAGAAAATGCACCAATGCACCTGCACGATGCACAATACACATGCAGGCTGCAGCGTTTCTTTTTTGCAGGATTTGACTATCAGTATCTCATTAGGGGCCACTCCAATGTGCTGTGGATCACTTGATCAACCAATATTGATTCAGTTCCATATTTCCATATATCTCGCGGTACGCATCCAATAAAGCTCATATTGCCTATTCTTTAATAAGTTAAAATATTTCGCAGCCGTAATCCTAACACCTGGGAAAAACTCATATGACGTCAGGTCGATAGGCACGGATTGGAAAAAAACAGGGAATGACAACACATGAAGCAATCACGGCAATAAACCACATGATTATGTTTTATCAACTAACACTCTTTCTCTCGTCTATTTACCGTAACCTTCCCAAACCCACATCTGGTGCAGCAATCTTTACAGCATGTCCAGTCGGAAATGAGACCGCACGGTCACAGGTCACCGATAGAGCACACAGATATTGCGTGCAGAATTAGCTCATCACACAGCAAACACAGAACGCTCATTAGTTTTGAATTGTCAGCTCATTGACAGGATCGTTCCCGATGAATTTCGTGGAGAGGTCACTATTCATTGTTTAATGATGAGCAATTGTTGGCTAGTTTACCGAGTGGCTTGTTAAGTATATTATCCACGTTTGGGGAACAAAACTGCTCACACAGCAAACACAGAACGCTCATTAATTTTGAATTGCCAGCTCATAGACAGGATCATTCCCGATCAATTTCGTTGAGAGGTCATGTATTGTTTAATGATGAACGATAGTTCGCCTAGTTTACCGAGTGGCTTGTTAAGGCTTATTATCCACGTTTGGGGAACAAATCTGTTATGCATGAAGCTGTGCCGAAAATTGATGAACCTAACGGAACATAAACATCAGGCTGATTTGAGGCAGGTCAGGTAGCGTGACCCAGCACGCATGTTGCAATATCTCTCAACACACCTCGGTAAATAGAATAAATGTGTTGCATGCCAACTTAGCCACCTTTTAGGTGAGGTGTAAGCCCCGGCAGCGGAACAAAAACTCCGAACAAGCCCAAGCCCAAAACCTCCACACTCATCAAAAGCAACGTCCCAACCAACTAACCATAGCCAACTACCAACAGTAACCCCCCCCCCAGAAAAATAGCCCCTCAGTGACTGACCTCCTCCCAAGAAAAAATAGCCCATCAGTGACTGACCTTGTAGAGCTTCAGCACCTCGTCCCACTGCAGGCACACACGCAGCCAGAGGGCCTGGGGCAGGGCCAGGCTGATACCAAGAACCCAGATGGTGACGATGGCCATTTTGGTTCTCTGACGAGACTGGTGGTTGATGAGACGGTACACAATCGCCTGGTAGCGGTCGGCCGCGATCGCCGTCAGCGTGAAAACGCTCACCTGACGGCCGCGGGGTGGCTGAGGTCAACGGAAGGTCAAGGGCACTGGGAGCACGCGAGCAGGGGCGGAGCCAGGTGATCGGCGCTAGGGGATGTTGAACTATTCCAACTCGGTAGAACTGGGGAGTCTGAACAATTAAGCCATTAAGCCTCTTGAGCCTTGCCGCAGCGACTGGCATCTAGCTTTAAGGTATCAAGTAATACGGTAGCCTCTGAGGTCGGGTAAAAGATCTCAAGGTATGGGTCTGATTTTTTTTTTTTTAATATGTGACGTGGCCAAAAATTGTCATAACCTCAATACCAAATTGAAGGGTATTTTTTCAAGTTGCAGGTCCGTTTTTTTTCAAATGTTTCGATGCAGATAACGCTTTCAATGCTGTCAGAGGATTTGCATGACTTCATTCAATAGGCACTTGTTTGCCATACCTCGAACATGACAAAGAACAAGCTATTACAGCTACTCTAATCATGACTAAAGCATTTCTTGCTTGCAGGCAACTGGCGTAAAATGACAGGTAATTTATTCTTACTGTGTAGGGGCGATTTCAAGCCCACACATAAACAAAGGTCAAGGCTCCGAAATTATGGTGGGTGTAAGCACCGGCTTAAGTACAACAGTAGTTCCATGAGCATGACGTCATTTGAAGTTATGAGGGGTCGATGTAGACCTGCTGCGAACAATGATTTTATTTTAGAAGAACTTTCATTAGTCCAAGATTGATTCTCTGATTGATTCTTCGCTTAAACTATTTTAGTCAGCACGAATCGGTGCCTATTAGGTTCAATTCATGAAATGTACAGTATATCTAAAAAGTATGTCCCCTGGTTTGGCTCTCCCACAGGAGGCGAATCGGTAACTTGGCTGAATCCTAGTTGCGGCACCCGGCCGCCAGGGTCGCTGCCGCGCGAGCGGCCTTGACCGCTCGCATGTCATTGGCAGTTCGGTCCCTCCCCATCTATACCGAGGTGGGGAGGGGAGAAGAGGGAAAGAGAGGGGAGGGAGCGGCATCCGCTCGGCACTTGGCGATACCTGGCTGACCCCGCGCTCCCTCGCTGACCTTTGTCCTGCCCTCAGGCGAAGACCGACTTCCTGGCCTGTAGCGGCCCAGCGGAAAACCGGGCTCGCGGGGCGCGACTCCATTGGCCCAATCTTATAAATGGAATGCTGTCGTATTCACGGCATTAGATAATATTAATAGTGATACCAGCAGTGGATGTGGTAAAATACAGTCCAAAATAAACGAAAGCACTCGATTCGTGCATAATGCGCCCTCCCATTCAAATAAGCCCGCCCACTTCGATAGATGGTGTAGTTTCTTAGGGCGTAAAAGATGCAAAACACTACCGATTTTTTTTTTTTTTAGCTCGGCCACTGGGACCGACAATATACAATTGACTGAAATGCATTAAACCATTTTGCATTTAGGTAATAGCCGTTTTCTGCACCCAAACTTTAGCCAGTGACGCCCTGTCCATTCTAGAGTGTTTATAAGATTGGTCCCAGCACCCGATTTTATATGAGGAAGTCGTTTAAAAAGCATCTTATTTCTAACGAATTTATTATTATGGCCACTTTTACAGGACGTCTATAGAGCTGACTTACATTTCTTCCTCGTTCAGGAGAAACGTTTTAACCCTCACCGGACCTTCAGGTTTTCTGAATACCGAGGGGACGTCGGGGGTTGGAAGTGAGGAAACAACCTCCTTCGCCGATTCGCCCCTAATTGAGCTAAAGCCTCACGAAAGAAACGATCGTGTGCGTCGTTACGAAATGCAGCGATTGGTCTCCGATTTAAGGACCAGGGTCAGCCGATGACTTCGGAGGTCAGGTCAAGTGGCCCAAGGCACAGGTTCGGTTTTTGGTAAATAACTTCGCTAAAAATGATCGCAGATCCGCGACTTTAGCAGCATCGTGTTTGTCTAGCTCAGGCGTGTCGAATGGTATACTTTTTCTTCGGGTGAGATCAACTTAACCCTCGCCCGTATAGAGGGGGGGATCGAACGGACCCCCCTCCCTCGGTTTTTCGCGAATAACTCGCGTAAAAAGCGGCCGATCGCGACGAAACTTTCGTTACCCTCGCGTTAATCAATTTTACACCCACCCTGAAATTGTCATGACCCTGACCTTAATGACCTATTACCTGCGACCTACTTTTCGAGACCATGTTTGTCCGGAATCACGATTCGGCGTATGTCGGCTCGCATTAGCGGCGCGTTTGCAGTCTTTTCGTGGTTTTAAGCGTTCAAACATGGGATATGATGTTGCTTCCATGCATTAGGGTGGGTGTCAAGGTCACCGGAAAGTCAGGTCAGGTCATTGACCTTTGATGACCTCGGTTCACTTTTTCGAGTTTTACATGTTTCTAGGCCAGTTTTAGGAGCTGAATTCGAATTTAGCAGCCATATGAACATTTACGAAGTAGTTTTGGTGCCCTCGTAACATGTTGCGAAGCGGTCAGAGGCGGTTGCCACCTACTACGAATACCCTTACTGGTTGACCTGACCTGACCTGACCCGACCTGGCCTAAATGCATGAAGACATCATCTGTGATCAAAACTAACATGATTTTCGTGATCAGCACCCCGAAAACCCCATAGCAGCCACGCTTTACGACTTTCTAACAGGCCCGATTTTCCCGACTTTTGGGTTATTGACCTGACCTGGAAAGTCAACCGATGACCTAGGACCTGAAAGTTGGGTATCATCGACTTCCTCTCGTCACGGCCAACACGCTCGTTTTTTCCGCGAAGCTCTAGCTCGATCAGGGGCGAAACGGCAAGGGAGGGTCCAACGGACCCCCCTCCCCCCTTATACGTTTGCGGCTGGAAAAACACCAATACGGGCAGGAGTTAAGGTGTTAACCTCGGGTCAAGGTCAGGTCACAGCCCGTCAGGTCACGAAGCTGGTCAAAGGAGGTCATATTGCATATCAATCGATTCGGCAGGTCTTCTCATGTCCATTAGTGGCTTTATCGACTCGGTAGCTTTAGTTGATCGGGAGTTATTGACGAAAAACTGATACCCTTGGTTACGTGATAAATGACGTCACGCAAGATCAACAAAGCAAAATTAAAGCATCAGACCTTGCAAGGAGCGCATGAAATCACGATTCCGTGTGCTTGAGAATTTGATATAGTTGTATATCATTTCCGGACCAAACTAGCAATTTCCATATTCCCCTGACTTTTAATGGTGAGAGACTGACCTGATCTCAGGCGACCTTTCAGAAAATCCGAGATATGTATACATTTATACAAGTTGTAAGACTCTCGATCATACTATAAGATCCTGTAAGTTTCATCTCCCTATGAAAGCTCTGCACTGAGGGTGTAGCGAAGTTGGAACATTTTAGGAGTGTGCACACAGTCCTGAAATGTTGAGGACAGTTTAGGACAGTTTCACACAGTTCATTCTAGGACTGCTCATTTATGACGTCATAGATCAGTGACCTGACTTGACTTAAAAATGCGGTTGGCGTAAAAAAAATCCGACTTATCAAATCTTGACTAAAAAAATCGACTTATAATCCGGTTAATCAAATCCCGACCATGTTTTTACCTGGCCATTAATGTTCTAGCCTTACAGGTGATTGTTTGAAAGCGGAAGATGCTGAATCTTGGTTAACCCCATACTTATCGTATGATAAAGAACGTCAGTGTTAGAAAGTTAATTAACAATTTTATTTAGGATAGTTTAATTCAAGTGGGTATAATCCGACTTGACAATTTACTAGGAGGGTTTTGCAGCGCTATTAGTTCGGCATTTAATTATACATCATTGCTAATTTCGATCCGGATATCGTTATTCAATGCTGGCCTTTGCGTCCTCAGAAAGTTGTTTATAGTCATGAAGGCTTGCATTGACCCATACTTTCCATTTTTCAGCACTATTATTCGCCGTAGTTGACCAGGTGTTTTCTTCAGCTCTCCTCTGAATCCTTTGGCTTAGACCTGGCGTATCACCCGTGCATCGCAAGACGCACCTACCACACACAAGTTCATGATCCCCACGAACCCACATCAGCGTCCGTTCGCTTGGTGTGTGACCCCTTGACCTTTGGCCGCGACAACTGCCAGCTTGCTGGAGCACCCCTCCCTACACGCGCTGCCCCGTCCGCTCCCCTCCCTCCCCCCCCCGGGGTCGTGTCACGAAGGCTCGGGCTTACACTACTACCGGCCGCTGCGCAGCTGTCACCTAGCGCCTGGGAATGTGTGGTCTGGTGCGGATTCAGCCAACTACCGGCTCGCGACACCAGCGCCACGTAGTGGCGACGGTACATTCTTTTTAGACACACTGTACGCATTTACAAATATGAACATGATCAAAGAAACTGCGTCAGAATTCCAGGCAACAACTATTTCAAACGTGAATCCACCCTCCACAGGCACTTCACTCAGTGCTTCCTTATAGTATACTGTATAGATACTTTTATACTTATAGTATAGACTGTATACAAATCCAAAACTTTTTTGTGGCGCTGTAGTCTCCGTTGAGATGCTAGACACATAAAATATCGCTCAACTTTCTGCTCGGGGATCGCAAAGAATCGCACCTGGACCGCATGTGCCTCAGGGCCAGCTCACCAGCACATGCAGACGACCCGCCCATCGTTCATCGCTAAGAACACCCATTTTCTGCAGACGAGGGATGCCATCCCGGCGCCTGGCTGCAGGAAAATGTCCCGTTTCCGCCCCAGTGGACGGCGCCGCACCTTCTGATGAGTATTGCACGCGCCACCGGGCTACAAAATGAGACTCGCTTAGGCCTGTCCTGATCGGCCGGCCGGCTGTCAGCGGCTGCACGAATTGGTCGATCCGGGATGATTATGAGATTTTGGGGCTAGGTTCAGCAAGGTTTGCCACAGATTGCTCATGAATGACTCATCGAGCCGGTCTGCCGCTAAGAAGTGAAACTGCTTGATAATTGATATTGCTTGTCCGGGGTCGTGGGGAGCCTTGAGCGCTTGATATGCTGGCATCAAAGGTAATTTGATCTCATCGA